AGGATGTTTATACTTTGCAAGTTGCATCCTGAGATGAAAGGCTATACAATGTGTTCAACATAATGACCTTGTTCGACTTTCAATCACAGGGGTGAAATGTTTTAAAAATAAATAACAGGGTCTTTTGAATGAATTTTAATCATAAATACTGATATTTTGCCTGTAGCTTTATTTTAGATCACTTTTAAGGTTACAAGTGTGAGTTTTATACCAGGTGAGCGATGCAGGCCCATTGGGCCTCTTGTTTTTATGTCGATATCGCTCAATATCACTTTATTTTGGCCACTGTCACACACAAAAAAAGGTAAATAAAGGTAAGAATCAATTATTTATGCCCCCCGGATCTGGTGTCACACCGGGACGCGTTATGCATTAAACAACATCACAACCTAACTGTGTCTTTTTCACAAATGGCTGACTGCCGAACAATTGATCGACCCAACTTACCTGTAAGGTCCACCAATCGGTATTACTACCAGTTTTAAGCCTGATATGTATATCTGTGTTAAAACTGAATCACTTATGTATTGAAACGCAAGTGTTTGTTTCATCTTTAATTACTGCTCAATTATCGAGGTTGCGTTTAACATCAAGTGACGGTTACGTAGGCCTACAAGTAAATGGTTTCTGTGAACGTGGGGGACTCCATGTTGTTACATTATAGAATATCATTTAATTAAAATGCCACATCTAAGAAACATACCTTATAATACATGTACAAATTGTTTTTCTTCCAGATTTTTTACATGTAATTAATTAATCATTTGATAAAATTTAGTGATACAGTAACATGTTACATTTTCATATCATTCCCTATATATCAGCCCTCAGTCCTGATTTCAGTCCTCCGGGCCTTAAGCCCCTCCAGCTTATATACCAAGATTCTAAGGCTGCAGGTACAGGGTGTGATATACAGAAAGTTGTATGATACACATTACCGTAACAAAATATTTTTGGCTTTCTCTATTTAAGGACAATAGATATAAAACCTTTTTCTGTTGAACAGTCATTGTGGTGGTGATTCTAGCTGCGTTAGTTGGAGGAATATTTGGAATTGCTGCTGTTTGCCAGAGCCGTATTTCGAGGAGGAAACTGTTGTTTCAGAACCGGAGAAGACTAGACTTGTCACCAATCCGATCACTACCCGAGACCGACTCCATGTTGAGATCTGATGGTGATGAGGACTTCGATGGATTTTAGTGGATCCAAACTGCAATAGCACTTGAAAATGCCTGGTTCTGGTTCATTTTGTCACAAGTTGAAAAAACAATTTTGCTGAGAGAGCAATATTAAATTGGTGCGACGTACACAGTGAAAATATATTTCAAATTGTTCTCAAATTATGGTCATTGATGCTTTCCTCAGCCAATATAGTTGAGCACAGCTATTTGTTACATCCTTATTTTTTCAGATTTTGTTGTGAGATGTTTTTATTTTGTCAGTTGTTACAGCATTTGCTTTGTGCACAAAAACGTATAACTACGGTACGGAGGGAGACCTTCATGGGCTTGTTGACTCCAATCAATCAATCGTTAATTAATCG